TTTCAAAAAGTTGAGAGTTTCTATTTGAAATAAGAAAGTTAGTGCTTACATTTGGTACACCCTGTATAGTTGAAGATCTGAAAATATTTTAGTTGATACCGAAACGATCGATTAGGACTACATACCAAATTTGAAGCTTCTAATCCCCCTGCAACCTCAAAAATTTCTAATGCGCGGGCTACGTAAATCACCCTTTATACAAATGAAGTAGGTACTACAAGTTTCGACGTGTAGAATTACCACAAACTTTGTAGGAACCAAGATCGTTTATGATTTCCTGCATCAGACATTTTTCTAACTTTTTTTTTAACACCATGTGAACCCACGTATTGGTTCATCAAAGTTTTATGCGATCACAAAACCTTCACTGCCTTTACTAGGAAAATCCAACAAATGTTATCAGAATGTCGAGATAGAACATAATGCGATTTGTATTTCTATTATTGGATTTTCATTCATATTTCTCTCTTGTATAATAACTAACTTGGGAATATTACATTGATATAAAAAAGGTGAGCACGTATTCTTTGAACAGACAACAACAAAAAAACAAAGATTGCCATGGTTTTTTAAACGTACGTCGCATTATTGTTTCTTATGGATTTTTGACATTAAAGTTCATTAACAAAATTCAAGAAAAATATTGCCAAGACACAAGACATACATTTAAAAAACCATAACAATCTTTGATGATGACCCGTTATCAAACTCATAATAACATATTCCCTAGTAGTCATTTCAAATAAAAATAGCATTATGGAAGATGAAACTAAGCGATATATATTTTATTCCATTCCCTTGAAAAGAAGAACTTTCATAACGGAAAGGCGAGTTAGAATGACGTTGAAAAGATTTTGTAACTAGTTTATTACGATCCTCAAAGGAATTTTATAAACATGTAGCCTACGAATAGTTTGTTTGGTATACCTAAGTGAAAAAAACACGATTCAAAAGAAAGAATTCGCTTGAGCATCGAGTCCTCTGAAAAACATGTTCTTCGGGTTAAAGTCCAAGTCGGAGAATATAGCAGACATTTCTTAAATATTAGTTACCTTCTTTCGAGTAATCATTCACCGGTCTAATGCAATAGGGTCTTTCTTCATAGATGTGTCCAGAAAGATTTGATTCAGCAAAAAGAAGCAGTTCACATATAGAAGAAAGAATAGATCTGATAAAATGATTCCTGGAAAACTCCTATATCCACGAACAAAACCAATTTTTCGCACAAAAAATGTAATGTTTATGGGATCACCATAAATAAATGAATAATTAAGTTCGAACACAAAGCATTCGAAATGCATAATTTCGCAACCACATTAACGGAATAGGACCGACCATAAAGCGAACCATCGAAAATTAAACCAAAGGCAGTTACCCATTCTTGGATCTACTCAAAACAAGTAACAGCAGATACAATAATGCCACCTTCTACAATCTACAGGAAACCCTCCCACACCGGACAATATCCAAATTTCTACTCAAATTTGAAAGACTACATTCAAATGATGAGCTAAAAAGAAAATTGAAAGTCGGTTCGAGCTCGCTATAGACCTCTAGTCATATAATAACGACTAGACAACTTTCATAGTTTAGTTAAGAAAATGGCCGATTTCTATACGGAGTGCAAGATGAATTCTCATTTATATTAAGTAATCACGTCATCAATAGCAAATTCAATTATTAGGAAGCCACTCAAATTGCAAACGAACAAAAAAATATCAGCAATCAGAGCAGAAAAATCAGTGGCTAGATTGCTCCCACGTTAATATTGAATTTATTTATTTGCTTTTTGAATATTGGTTAATAAAAAAATTATAGAACACACAAAAAAGGAAATGAACATCCTCCGTTTCGCGAGGGTTGTCGACTATTAATAAAACTCCTTTGGCTGTCGGCGTTTTCTTTATGAAGCATGGGCGGAGTAAAAGAAATTTATTAAAACAGTTTTATATAAAATAAAACATAAAGCACGATGCAAATCAAATAAGAATCAAATTTATAAAAAATATCTACTACACTGTCTTTCCAGTCGAAAAGGATTCCTGTTCAGGTGCAAGCGGCTCCATCAACTTGTCCCGGATAACCTGGCATTTTCTAATGAAAAATTGGGTTTTGCTAATGCTCACCTAGTGCTGCAACATGCTGCTAAAAAAAAATCATAATATTTGTTAAGTAACACTGTTACAAATAACACTCGATATTTGTACTTTAAGACAAGAGAACCTATTATAGGGTCGTGGAATTCAAAAAAAAAAAAGATAACGTGTAGCCCCTTTATGTGCATCAAATGAAACCACTCAAAATCCAACAAACAATTATTTTATTTTGTTTACAATGTAGTAACCGTAACAATGTTACTTTCTGTAAAATTGGACAGTTGACAGCTTGGTTGTTCTGGTGAATCTGACACATGTACCTTTCCAATCCGGAGCTCTTCAATGGATGTTGGGGTTTCACTTTCGTGAACTGGAGCTCTTCGTGTTGTTTCCTGTATCCAGGAAAGAGGATAGATTGCTGGTGTGACGTCACTCCAGCTGATCGAGACTCCAAACAGTGATCTTTTATGACCAGTAGGTACCCAGGAAAGAAAAAGGCAGTATCAGGTTCACCAAGATTTGGAATACTAAATCCCTGAATTCTGTCAAAAAGCGAGTGTCTTGCAAAGACAGCAAAATTAAAATATGAAATTAGTTAATTATAAAACTATTGTTGTGCAGACACTCCTTTCCAACAAAATCAGGTATGAGCAACTATTGCAAATTGAGAAAAAAATATTTTAATATAAAAAAAAAATATTAAATAATTGAAAATAATCATAAGATAATAGTAAAATAAGTAAAATAGGTAATAACAGCAAGATTAAATTAAAATGCTCGTTACAAATTGAGTAGGGTGCTGCTTTTCTGGCAGTAGCAATGAACAGGCAAGAATAAAAATAAATGTGGGAAAAATTGAATCAGATAAATAAAAAATTAAATCTCTAAATTCTCCCCCAAATAGACAAAATTTTCCTTCTAAGTTAAGGTAACTACTATAGGTACAACAAAATAAACCTGAGGGTGAAATCAATCAAATCCAGGATAGGTACGTCAAAATTCTTGAGACGTTTCAATCAAAACTATTTAAATGAATTTTTGACCTGTCTGAATTTCTATTAAAAAAAAAATTACACCCTTTTTCAACACTCTTCTCCTCGAGAAGATAATAATCGAGATAATAATTGACGGAGTCAAACAGAAAATGGCTATACAGGCCTCTGCCTGGATTCAATAAAGAGTTGATAGGGATGGACACACAAATTTGGTTTTCACCGACTCTATTTAGAGCAAATGGTCCAATAATCCCACACTTACAATTGATTCTGAAAACCAGAGCAGCAGTACCTATTTATTAGCCCAAAAATCTGAATTGACTTACCTCAGAAAAACGTGGAACCACCAATCACACACAAAATGGAGGCTCACAATTAGATAAAAAAATACAATATTTATATTTCAAAAGTAGATAAGATAAGATTTATCAGGTAAAACCTAAACTGTGATGGTAGTATGAGGGTAGTATACTCTGATGGTAAAATAAATTGAAAAATTGTAAGGGAGAATCTAGAAATATGAAGGAAAAATTATAAAAATGAAACTTGACTTGCCTGCCAGAGCACTGCCAGAAGAAGAGAGCGTTTTAGAAACCAAACCCTATAGGAAACCATTCTTGTGTTTTTCATACTCAACTGCGTATTAACCAAATCAACCAATCAGAAAAGTACACACAAAAGACCGTATTCACTTCACAATGAAATACCACGTGGATTAAAAGACAATAGATAAAAATCTACTAGAATTATTATAATTGTTTACAAATTACAATAATTTAAATTAAGGTTATGTTGAAAACAAAAAACCGCTAATTAATTAGGTCATTAGGCCAAAAATAATCAGTTCAGAATCAAAAGTTACAGAAAGAGAGAAATATATCCATTTGCTAAAAGTGAGAGAAATATAATTTCTTTAAATGAAAATACAAATGACTGTCGAAAGCGAAATATTTAAAATCATACTTTGAAAAATAAATCTATCAGGTACTAGATGGCAGAACCTTTTTTTTATTATTAGATATTTTGCATTTTATGTTGATGATGGACAGATTTCAGTACTGATATTATATTGAACTTTGTGGATATTTTTAGATTACTTAAATTATGAATTATTATTTTGCTGATTCTGAAATGGCAAAAATACAACTTTATAATGAAAATTAGAAGAGATGGAACATGTTACGTAAATGATAAATTTATCGTAACAACACGTTATTCTTCATATTCATTTTTTAATCAAAAATTGAGGTCCTTTAGTGCTTATCAAGTGCTGCAAGATGCTGCAACATTTTTTTGTAAATGTTTGATATTTCAGACGTAATCCCTAATTGTTTCTTCCGGGCCATGTTGATGACAGCCCGGACATGTCAGCATTTTTTTAATCAAAAATTCAGGTCCTCTAGTGCTCGTCAAGTGCTGTAAGATGCTGCCACATTTTTTTGAAAATTTTTGATATTTAACACGTTATCGTCAATTACTTCTTCTGGGCCATGTTGATGACAATCCGGATAAATCAGCATTTTTTAAACGAAAATTGAGCTCCTCTAGTGCTCGTTAAGTGCTGCAAAATGCTGCAACATTTTTTTGAAAATTTTTGATATTTAATACGTAATCATCGATTACTTCTTCTGGGCCATGTTGATGACAGCCCGGATAGGTCAGCATTTTTTATTCGGAAATTGAGCTCCTCTAGTGCTCGTCAACTGCTGCAAAAAGTTTTTGAGAATTTCCAATATCTAACACGTAATTGCCAATTATTTTTTTCCGGCCATGTTGATTATAGCCCGGGCGCATTTTTACGTTTCCTAGACCGGGAACACTACTGGTTGCGCTGACGAGCAGGAAATGTATTGCGCGCTACACATTCCGTTCCCTAGACAGTGGGTGACTTGAGTGATTGATAATCAAAATGCCTGAAAGAAGGTGGTAAGTAACAGTCAATTCAATGTGTAATATACATACATTCTGATAATAGGTAACAATAGTAATTAAAAAAAAAAATGTTCAACGTAATCTTTATTATTAGCTTGAAGCTAATGAGTACACACCTATCAACTATTTAATATGTTTGAAGGAATGTAGAAATTTATATACAGGTAGCACATTTTAAAGGGGGTGTGACCCAAAAATGGAAGTTTTAGTGCAAAAAAAAAACTAAGAATAAATATTTAAACCGCATCTTGATACGATGAATCGTTTTCGAGCTAGGGCGGCTTAAAGTTACGAACGCCTAGGCTGTGACATCACACCGGCTTTGGAGGCACAGTATTAACACGTGTAAGAGTTTTTCAAAACAAAAGTCAACGATCTCACTAGAGCGAATTGCAATCACCCAAAGTATAAGGCACGATTTACTGACGCCTGAATAAACAGAAGGCTGCGATTTCGGCGGTTAGCCAGTGTGACGTCACAAGTTTCTGCAAAGTTTATCTTTATAGGGGATTTTCTCGGAAACTATTTCGAATATAGTATTGCGGTTTTCACGAAAGATCTTAGATTTTTTTTCTTGATTTGAATAGCTCAAGTTGTTTTTTGGGTCATACTGTTGTTGTTGTTCACTTCAATGGTCGATAGCATTTGGTTGATCGAGATCTATATTTTCACATGAGATCATCATGTGTTCTAACATAAATTTTGACTGATTAACTTCAGCAAAATTATAGAAGTTGTTTAGGTTTAATTGAACTTGCACTTACTGTCTAGGGAACGGAGTGTTTGGTGCGCAGTACATTTTCAACTCGTCAGCGCAACCAGTAGCGTTCACGGTTGGCGTTGCGCCCACTGTCTAGGGCACGGAGTGTTTGGTGCGTCTTACTAACATTTCCTAGCTCGTCAGCGCAACAAGTAGCGTTCACGGTCTAGGAAACGAAAAAATGCAGCCCGGACGCATCTTGGAGGAGTCAGCATTTTTTGATCAAAAATTTAAACAGCCTAATTCTCGCCCAGTGCTGCAGGATAATTATTGTTTGAAACATTCGATATTCGCTATCGTTAATTATTTCTTTCGGGTTCCGGGCTATGTTGAGGACCAGGGACGCAGCCATGGGGGAGTTGGAGAGGGGCAACGCCCCCCCCCCCCTTCCCCAAAGTCCCTAAATATATCATGTTGGAAAACTTGGCATAAAAAAGTTGGGAAAAATTGGTAGACAAAAATTTTCGCACTTTATTTGCGGGGACTAATTAAAACTAACATAAGGATCGTGTCATGTGTCGAAATGAATTGCAAAATCACCGGAACAGGATGATGAAATCCCAATGTTCGCGGCGCTGTATTGCGAGTCTTGCGTTGCACTTTGCACTGCACTAGCGCCACTAGCCTGTGGCAGTGGCACGTGGCACTCGTGGCAGTAGTGGTACTAGCGCTACTAGCACTATTCAAGAGTCAAGGCCGACGACTGACGTAATTATGTAGCTTGTTGTTGAAAGCGCGTCGTGTTCGAGTGAAATGGACAATATACTATATTAGATATCCAAACTCCTTATATTATGTTGCCTTCTGCGTTCTGCGCATTCTTCCCTCGCTATTCAGATTTCAGCAAAGCTCTGAATCCTGTGTTGCTTTACATGTCAAACTTTTTATCAGTTTTTCAAATGGAACTCCTAAGGCGGCGTTCTGATATTTGGCCGACAATGGAGAGTGATTTGAAAGACGCGTTACGTAAAGTCACGTTCTGGCAAATTTAGTTACACAAGAGACGAGGGAAAAAAAAGATATACCTTAGAGAGACGGAGAAAGAAAGCCAATGATAATGACAGTCGAGGAACGATTGATACAAACCAAGGATTATAAGCAAAGAGGATTGCCTATTATCGTCAAGCGCCGATACCCTTGTGACATTACTACAGATGCGCGTCTCCCTTTTGTGTGGCCCTTCGTCTTCACCCTGACTCATACGCTACATCTAAAAGTTGTATGAGGGAGAGTACCTATAGTTTTTAAGAAGTTTCACTTCTTAACACGTGTATATACTTGCATCGTATGATGCTACACAAGATTTTTTTTAATGAAACTTCTTAGGCGGCGGTCTGATATTTGGACGAGAATGGAGAGTGATTTGAAAGATGCGTCACGTTACAAGTAGCGTTTTGGCAAATTTCGTTACACGAGAGACGAGAGAGAAGAAAGATATAACGTAGAGAGACGGAGAAAGACAGCCAATGAGAATGACAGCCTACGAACGATTGACACAAACCAAGGATCATAAGCAAAGAGGATTACCTATATGATTGTCAACCGCCGATTCCCTTGTAACTTGTCACTACAAATGCGTGTCTGCCTTTTGTGTAGCCTTTTGTCTTTTTACCCCGACTCATAAGCTAAGTCTAAAAGTTGTATGAGGGAGGGTGTAGTTTACAAGAAGTTTCACTTCTTAACACGTGTACGATGCTACATATGATTTTTTTCTATGTTTTAATAAAGTTCGGAAAATAAGGAATGTCCCCCCTCCCCAAATCTTCGCTACGTCCCTGTTGATGACAGCCCGGACGGGTAGATAGCAACTTACCGCATGCTTGTAGAAAAGGTTTTACGTTCAGCTGTCCATTTTACAAGTCAGTACAGCCAGTAGCTTATGTGAAAACCACATTTCTGAAATAACAACTGTCGAAACTTATGGAAACGCAGTATTTGCCGTGGTGTAAAACTGAAAAATCTAATTGCTCGATATGTTTATATCTAGATATAAGGGGTGTCTCAGAAATGTTTTCGGTTGTAGATCCGCCCTCTGGCGCAGTACGCATGTTCCGGAGTAACGAAATAGTTGGCAAAAGTTTGACAATATTGTTAGTTTTAGTTGCAATGGAGCGTTTTACGGAACCGCCACATGCTTTTTTGTTCGTGCGCTTTATAAAAACAATGATTCTTATGTTCATGTGCGTCGTTTGTACAGAAATCAATATCACATAGCAAGAATGAGAGATGCCCAAGTGCAAATTTGTTTAAATATTGGGTAAGAAAATTCGAGAACACTGGAAACATAATGACTAGTAAACCTCCCGGACGCCCAAGGGCAGCAAGATCGAATGAAAATGTTGAATTGAATAAAGATATTACCAGGGAGGGTCTTAGTCGCAGAGGGGACATTAACTGGCCACCGAGAAGTCCCGATTTGACACCAGTATATTTTTTCTTATGGGGATACCTCAAGAGTAAGGTATACACACCACCGCCACAAGATTTGAGAGAATTGAAGCAAAAACTATCAGATGAAATCAAATCTATTCCTCGTGCAATATATGCTTCGGAGAGTGATCGAAAACTTCAGTTCAAGATTAAGAGAATGTGAAAACATGAACGGTGCGATTTATCCAATACTCTTTTCCATAAATAAAAATTTAATGCTAGTGATAAATTTATCTTGGTAAAAAAGTATGGATTTAGTTTTTTTTTTTTTTATTGCAAAATATACAGGGTGTCCGTTTTTCGCGGGCAGCCATTGGGATATAGGAAACGGTAAGAGATTCAGGTTCGGTTAAATTGGAACAAAGTTGCGCAATTTTTTGCTCAATTAAATGGTACTTTCACATTTGAAAAATTCCGAACACTTTCCGAAATACCCGAGGAAATACCGGAGAAAAACAAAATTTTGCAAAATTGATTTTATTCTTTTTTTAGCTTATTTGGGGAGTGTGTTATCATCGTAGCCACTTTTTCTACTCTACAAGATGATATTATCAAATTTAAAATCTGATGTTTCGTCTTTGGGCCACCATCATTAATTCCATTTTTTGAAATAGGGCCCCTAATTTTCAATTTCAGATTTAAAGAGCATCTGATGTCCCAAAACCTATGAAGTATCGCATTTATTCGAAAAATATATTATTTTTTTTAACTTTTTAGTAATTTCCTACCAAAATTCTCTGTCTCTCTCTCTCTCTCTCTCTCTCTCTCTCTCTCACACATTAAGTTCTTATGGAAAGTGCCAATACTATAAATTTTTCGAATGAGTACAATACGTCATTGGTTTTGGTACATCACAAGCTCATAAAATCTAAAATAGAAAATGAAGGTTCGTATTTAAAAAAATGAAGTTGATGATGGTGGCTAAAAGACGAAACGTCAAATGTTATAATAATAATAATAATAATAATAATAATAAAATGTCTTTATTGAAAACAAATGTTCATGACATTTGCCCATAGGGCGAAGATTAGCTTAAAGCTACTCATTAACTCTTAACCCTATATAATATACAAATATTAAATTACTTTACTAATACAACAATCACAGCAACGGCAATAATGAACGATGCCTAATATAACAAAATAGAAAAATATTCATGTAACAAAAAGAAAAAAATAAAACAAACAAACAAAAAAAAAATAAAAAGAAAAATAATAATAAAATTTAAAAAAAAATAAATAAATAAATAAATATATGTATACATGTATAAATATGCTACTCACTACTAACCTACATAGCCAACTGCTCCTCCAAAAATAGTTGCTTGTATTTTTTATGAAGCTGATAGACCGAGGAATGCAAGTCAGGTCTTAGATGATTAAACAAAGATACAACATTGAATGTGAAACAACGAGAAAATAGAGCGGTGGTGTGGTGTGGCATGGTCAATGTGATGTGTCTGATGTTTCTGTTATGAACCATATTTCAAGGTATTAATTTTTCAAATAGGTATGATGGTGCCCTATTATTAATTAAACGATACATAAATAGTACCAGATGAAACTTGAACAAAAACGATAACTTCAACCATTTTAGATCATATATATGCCTTGAAACATGATCGAACTTTTTCAATCTACAAACAAACCGACAACATGTATTTTCAACGCGTTGCAATCTCTGCTGAGACATCCTGTCTAAAAAGGGATAATAGACTATAAGGCAATAATTGATTATAGAAAGTACAAAGGTATCTGCAAGCTTTTTCCTGGTATCAAAATTTAAGATATCCTTATTGGCATAC